CGCGGGGCAGGAGAGGCCGGGTGCAGGCAGGCCGCCGGTGCAGGAGCCTCGGCGCTTCGGATTCCGCGCCACTGGGTTTCCAAAGAGAACTCGCCCAGCTCCGTAGCTCCTGGGCACGGATCGGACTCAAAATCGAGAGCCAGACGTTTGACTGAAACTTGGAGCCGACCTTCCCGGGGCTGAAGGAGGCTCGAGGTTCGGAGGAGGAGGAGGAGGCGGCGGTGGCGGCTGCCCGCCGGGCCTCAAGGCGAGAAGGCGGAGCTGCACCGCCGAGGCGGCGACCCGGGCGAGCAGGCAGGGGACGCCGGGCTCTGGCCTGGCGGAGGCCCGACTCGGTGTAGGGGACGCAGGCATCGCCGTGCGCCCGGGGCTCGAGAGACTTGGGCAAACTTTGGAAGGTAACCGGAGACTCTTGTAGCCCGTCACCGAAGAGAAAGCCGCACCGTTACGTCTCGGCGGGGAGGGTAAGGCGATACTCCCCCCCCCAACCCAACCCCACCCCCGATCCCCCAGCCCAGGCCCAGGAGAGTGAGCCCCCGGCGGCCGCGTGAGTGCCACGCGGAGGCGGCTGCGGCGCCCCCTCGGCTGGCGGCCTCGCCCCCGCCGTGCAAGCACCCTAGCGCCCTCGGCTCCGCGCCGCCCACGGCCCGGCCCCGGCGCCGGGAGGACTCTCATGCGCCGGGCGCGGCGGCGCCTCCCTGCATCCCAGCCGCTCCCCAGCGCCTCGTCTTTTTCCTCCAGCTGAGAACGCCGCTGCACGCGCGGCCCGCGGCGATGCGGGGCCCCGGCACTGCGGCGTCGCACCCGCCCCTGGGCCTGTGCGCCCTGGTGCTGGCGCTTCTGGGCGCGCTGCCCGCGGGCACCCGGGCTCAGCCGTACCACGGCGAGAAGGGCATCTCGGTCCCGGACCACGGCTTCTGCCAGCCCATCTCCATCCCGCTGTGCACGGATATCGCCTACAACCAGACCATCCTGCCCAACCTGCTGGGCCACACGAACCAAGAGGACGCGGGCCTCGAGGTGCACCAGTTCTACCCGCTGGTGAAGGTGCAGTGTTCTCCCGAGCTGCGCTTCTTTTTGTGCTCCATGTACGCGCCCGTGTGCACCGTGCTCGACCAAGCCATTCCCCCGTGCCGCTCCCTGTGCGAGCGCGCCCGCCAGGGCTGCGAGGCTCTCATGAACAAGTTCGGCTTCCAGTGGCCTGAGCGACTGCGCTGCGAGAACTTCCCGGTGCACGGCGCCGGCGAGATCTGCGTGGGCCAGAACACGTCCGACGGCTCCGGGGGCGCGGGCGGCAGCCCCACCGCCTACCCTACGGCTCCCTACCTGCCGGACCCGCCTTTCACGGCCATGGCCCCCTCAGATGGCAGGGGCCGGTGGTCTTTCCCCTTCTCGTGCCCGCGCCAGCTCAAAGTGCCCCCCTACCTGGGCTACCGCTTCCTAGGTGAGCGCGACTGCGGTGCCCCGTGTGAGCCGGGCCGTGCTAACGGCCTCATGTACTTTAAAGAAGAGGAGAGGCGTTTCGCCCGCCTCTGGGTGGGTGTGTGGTCGGTGCTGTGCTGCGCCTCGACGCTCTTCACGGTGCTCACCTACCTGGTGGACATGCGGCGCTTCAGCTACCCAGAGCGACCCATCATCTTCCTGTCGGGCTGCTACTTCATGGTGGCTGTCGCGCACGTGGCGGGCTTCCTGCTGGAGGACCGTGCCGTGTGCGTGGAGCGCTTCTCGGACGATGGCTACCGCACGGTGGCGCAGGGCACCAAGAAGGAGGGCTGCACCATCCTCTTCATGGTGCTGTACTTCTTCGGCATGGCCAGCTCCATCTGGTGGGTCATTCTGTCCCTCACTTGGTTCCTGGCGGCTGGCATGAAGTGGGGCCACGAGGCCATCGAGGCCAACTCGCAGTACTTTCACCTGGCCGCGTGGGCTGTGCCGGCGGTCAAGACAATCACCATCTTGGCCATGGGCCAGGTGGACGGGGACCTGCTCAGTGGCGTGTGCTACGTGGGCCTGTCCAGTGTGGATGCGCTGCGGGGCTTCGTGCTGGCGCCCCTGTTCGTCTACCTCTTCATCGGCACGTCCTTCCTGCTGGCCGGCTTTGTGTCGCTCTTCCGCATCCGCACCATCATGAAGCACGACGGCACCAAGACGGAGAAGCTGGAGAAGCTCATGGTGCGCATCGGCGTCTTCAGCGTGCTCTACACCGTGCCGGCCACCATCGTGCTGGCCTGCTACTTCTACGAGCAGGCCTTCCGCGAGCACTGGGAGCGCACCTGGCTCCTGCAGACCTGCAAGAGCTACGCGGTGCCCTGCCCTCCGGGCCACTTCCCGCCCATGAGCCCGGACTTCACAGTCTTCATGATCAAGTACCTGATGACCATGATCGTGGGCATCACGACCGGCTTCTGGATCTGGTCGGGCAAGACCCTGCAGTCGTGGCGTCGCTTCTACCACAGACTCAGCCACAGCAGTAAGGGGGAGACTGCGGTATGAACCCCGGTCCTTCCCCGGCCCTTGCCACTTCCTACCCCCTTGGAGGAGGAGAGGCATGGTGGTGGGGGGGGGGTACGACAAAAACTGCTGGGCGGGGACTTGTTTCTGTAGACAACCCCCCTCCTCCACTGAGCTTTAACATGGGAGTGAGAAGTTATTTGGAGGTGAGAAGAGATTTGGGGTGAGAGGCGGTGTTGAGAGGAGGCCTGAGTGAAACGTCAGAAGGCAGTGTGGATGAAAAAGACTTCTGGTTAAGACTTGCGGGATGATGTTAAACTGTGAAAGGTAGGAGCCGGCTAGGGCCTTCAGGGAAAAAGGTTGAGGTCAGCAGAGACTGGAGAGTCCTTCCCGGCGCCAGAGCTGAGCCAGGGCTGAGTCCAGTCCCTGCTGCAAGGCCAGAGGCTGTCCTCACTCCAGCGAGGCCGGGGGAGGGGGCAGATAGCGCTCCGTCTGCTGCCTGGGCTTTGTTGGGGAGATGGGGGCCCCCTGTGGTGCCCTTGTCAAGCGGTGGTCAAACCATAATCTCTTTTCACTGGGGCCAAACTGGAGCCCAGATGGGTTAATTTCCAGGGTCAGACATTACAGCCCTCCTCCCCCGCCCGTTTTTTTTTTTCCTCCCTCCCCTGCTCCTTTCAAGACTAGTAAAATCAGCCTTTGGAAGGCCGGGGAGGCCTGCCTGCTAGAATCCTAACGCGAAGATGCCAAAGAAGACATTTCCGCGAGGAAGGCCAAGGAGAGAGTGGTAGATAGATAGAGTTCTGCTACTTTCTTTCTTTCTTTCTTTTTTTTTCATTTTCTTGGGCAGGCGGGAAGGCGAGAAGAAAAAGAATGTTTGATTTGGTTTCATGCCCTGAAAAGAAGTGGTGACTTGTTGCTTTTCGAAATAGGAATGCATTTCCCCTTGTCTTTGTTGTAAGAGACAAAGGGGAGACAAAAGTGTCTCCCCGAGGAAAGGCTTCACCGGGAAGGCAGCCGCTTTTATAGGCAAAGCAGCAGAAATCTGAGGTCTCCCTTCGGTTGTTAATTTGGTTGAGATAAACATTCCTTTTTAAGGAAAAGCGAAGGGCAAGCGTGCTTGCTTTCGTACCCATTCAGCCAAAGGTTCTGCCTTGGGTAAAGGAAGTGGAAGGAGTTTTGTTATTTGTTTTAAACAGATTTAATTCAGAACACATGATCTAACAGGCTCTGTTAAACAGCTTAATGAAGCCTCTCCGTCCCACACCCCCCATAAGCCTAAATTTCGGGTTTCTGTCCCCCCACCTCCTTCCGTCCAATTTGTGTGTGTGTTTGGTTTTTTTTTTTTTTCTTCTGTGTGTGTTTGGGGTTTTTTGTTTGTTTGGGGTTTCTTTGGGCTGTTTTGTTTGTGTGTTTGTTTTGTTTTGTTTTTTCCTTTCTCTTTTTTTTCTTTTTCTGTTTGATTTTTTTTTTTAAATAGTTTTTCGAGACAGGGTTTCTCTGTGTATCCCCTCCCTGTCCTGGAAATCACTCTGTAGACCAGGCTGGCCTCGAACTCTAAGATTCCCCCCCTGCTTCTGCCTCCCTAGTGCTGGACCTGGCTCCCCTATCCAGTTTGTATTCTTCAAGATTAAAGGAGAGGCACAATGCTCACAGAATCAAAATAAAGGGAAAATTAATTAAAGGGGTTAAAAACCTTTTGCCCACCTTCCCTCTTCGTTCCATAACTCTGTGTGTAAGAAACACGTGCCGACCCTTTCTCTGGTTGAAGAGGTGGCATGCAGGAGTGATAGGAGTTTGTGCCAGGTTTAGAAAGTCATTACAGGGAGGTAAACTTCAAAGTGATTCTGGAGTTCTTTGAAATGTGCTAGAAGACTTAAATTTATTAATCTTAAATCATATACTTTCCCCCCCCTTGTAATAGAGGTCTGGTTCTTTGGCATAATGGTGTATTGCTAAGCAGAGCATCATGGGAGCTAGCCTTGACTCCACCTTTGACCCTGACCGTCCTCCAGTCTTGCAATGCTGCACGGCTTCTCAGCAGTTAAATGCCAATCAGGGGGGTGCTGTCAGGAGTACAAATTACTTTATATATGTCACATTTGGCTGAAGGGAGCTGCTTTTACGTCACAGTGATCTTGCATTTCTGAAACTTTCAAAAAATGATCTCACCTGTCAGATTTTTTTTTTTTTAACTGCCACCACACAGGTTTGGTGTCTTTTGTGTTTTCTCTCTTAAGTGCATGTGAAATTTGTAAAATAGAGACAGTGCAGTATGTATATTTTGTAAATCTCCCATTTTTGTAAGAAAATATATATTGTATTTATACATTTTTACTTTGGATTTTTGTTTTGTTTTTTTTTTTTTTTTTGCCTTTAAAGATCTACAACGAAGCCCCACTTTATCACATGTACAGATCACAAATAAATTTTTTAAAAAATATAAAGCGAATGTTTATTTACTCTGCCTGAGATAGTAAGCCAAAGAACAAAACTTTATTGTGGACAGAAGGCGTGCCGTGGGGTGTGTCCCCCAGAGAAGAAGATGGTGGCGTAGGCTCCCGAAAGCTTTGACTGTCCTTTGGTTTTGCTTTGTTCTTGTTTTCTGTGTCCTGCTCCCCTCCGTGGCCTCCTCCACATCACCTCTAAGCCAGTGGTTCTCAACAAGAGGGTCGGGCCCCCGTGGGGTCACATATCAGTTGTTCTGCATATTAGATATTCACATGACGATTCGTAACAGTAGTCAAGTTACAGTTATGAAATAATTTTATGGTTGGGGGTCACCACAACATGAGGAGCTGTGTTAAAGGGTCACAGCATTAGGAAGGCTGAGAACCACTGCACTAAGCCTTTTCAGGGAAGTTTTGGGGACCCACTAGGGGTTCCGAATGCATGTCTCTCTGATCTGTAATTTACCAACCTTAGCCAAGACTAAGCCCATGTTTGGAAGAGGACCAGAGGTATTCTTGGTATTTCTACTTTTCCGTTGATTTTCCCCGCCTTGGGAAGTGTGTGTGTGTGTGTGTGTGTGTGTGTGTGTGTGTCCGTCCGTCCTAATAGGCCTTATCTAAATTATTAATATTTAAATGCTTTGAATTGAAGTGGTAGGGAAAGTTTGCAGATGTTTCCAGATGAGAGCAGGGGTCACCTGTGGAGAACACTTAGCTGGAGGCTTCGCTCTGCCTCCTAGGTTAACTAAAGCAGCCTGAGAGCTCTCGGAGGGGGGCAGTGACTCAGCAGCTCGCAGGAATAGACTACTGCCTCACCCTGAGGTGGCCTCAGAAGCCACTGACCCTGAGGTGGCCTCAGAAGCCGCTCTGCTGTTATTTGCTCTTGAAGAGAGGCTAACTTTGGAAGCAGATGAGGCTGGGTAGCCCCTGGGGAAATGGTCAGGCAGTCTCAGACTCCCAACCCTAAGCCTGGGTAGTTTTTTTCACTTGCTGCTGCTTTAAGTCAGGTGCCAATACCCCGATTCTACCCCAAGGAGGCAGATGATACCCCAAGTAGGCAGTGTGCTGCTGTCTCTCCTATCCCACACCTGGCTGAAAGTGTCTGGAGTTCTAAGGCCTAACAAACAGTTCAGGTTTTGTTCTAATTAACAGGCTCACAGAGGCTGGTGTGTTTTACAGACGGAAAGAATGAAAACCAGTGACAGGCAGTTCTCTCCAGGAGGAGGATGACCAGCTAGACACCGGCTCAAAGCAGCATTGTTTGTTTGTTTGTTTTGTTTTGTTTTTTACGAGTCTCCTGGGCTCACAGCATCACAGTGGGTGTGAGGTCATTCTAACCCGTGGAGATTTGCGCAGCAAGGAGCGAAAATTTAGTGACTCTGAATGTCTTAAGCTTTATCCACTTTTCAGTCGTAAAATGACAACTTTTAGGTAAACCGTGCCTTTCAACGGGGAGTCAGTACTGCCTGTTAAGAATGTCTGCTTCCAGGGCAAATGGAAGGAGCTCGCTGCTTGCTTTTTCTTCTCCTTTTCCTTTTCCCTTTTCCTTTTTTCTTAGTGTAAACAGCTGATGGAGGCACTTAGCCCCTTCCCAGGGAAGTACTGTGACTGTCTTCCAGAGCTCCCAGTGATGGAGGAGGCTTGGTCTCTAGTAAGGGAACAAAAACAGCATGTGAAGAAATCACTAACCTGCTCTCGTTCGCAGAAAACTCACACTCCCGTTCCTTTCCCATGAGGATGCCCTGGGAGGTCAAGTCATACCGAAGCATTTCAGAAACCCCATGAGTTTTCCTGAAAAGTTGCATTTTAGCAGAAACTATGTGAGGGAGAGCCTTTGCAAAAGGGCATATGTAGAGTTTAAGAAAAACATTGGCGGGAGTTGGATGCTAATCCCCTGATAAGGAACAAAAACACTGAGACTTGCCTGCACTTTATAAAACGAAACACAACAGTGCATTGCAACACCTAATCTTGGTAAGTGGGTGTGTGAAAACTCTTGGCAAGGGGGGTGGGGGGGAGGGGAAATGTGCCCTGTTAACGTCTTAGTATTAGTTTTTAAAATGTGCTTAAAATAGTGATGTTGGCAATTCTCTTGATAGGACTATCGTAACATAGCAGCTGTAGGTTGGAGCCCTGTAATTACAGTCAGAAAATCGCTTCTCACTCTCCCATCTTTAATTTCACTGAAAAGGCAGATGGCTATTTATAGACGGTATATTTTTGTATATGCATATGTGAACGGTGAATAACAGTCTACGGGGCTCCAGGAAATCCTAGAAGAGAGTGAAAACACTCCAGCGTGCACTTAAATAAATAGTCCATAGATGATGTGCTGGCCAGTTTCTATGCCAACTTGACACGGGCTAGAGTCATTTGGGAAGAGGGAACCTCAACTGAGAAAAGGTCCCCACCAGATTAGCCTGTGGGCAAGCTTCTAGGGCATTCTCTTGATTAAGGATTGATGTGGGTGGCCCATGGGAATGTTCCCCCCCTGAGGGTAGTCCTGGGTGGTTAAGCAAACAGGCTGAGCAAGCCACGAGGAGAAAGCCAGTGAAGAACCTTTTCCATGGCCTCTGCATCGGTTCCTACCTCCAGGTTCCTGCCTTGGTTCCTGCCCTAACTTCCCTGGATGATGAACTAAGGTGAAATAGACCGTTTCTCCTGAGGATGCTTTTGGTTGTGGTGGTTTATCACAGCACTAGATGTCCTAACTAAGACACATATTCTTTTTTTTCTCATTATCCTTTCCTCAGTGAATTAACCTGGTTTCAAAAAAATTCATTCTTAAATTCTTCTTAATAAGCCTTTTTTTAAAAAAAAATCTAAAGCTGTATTCCTCATACTTCCTAGGAAATTGAACCTAGTTAAAAGGTTACCGTAACAATTCCAGTTCTTTGGTAAACATATTACATTTTTTATTCTGTTTTGTTATCTTTTATATGCATGTGGGGGGGATATGTGGGTGTGTGAAGTATGTATGTGAGTACGGATGTGTGCACAGGTGTGTGTATACATGTGTGTGTGTAGTGGAGGCCAGAGGTTGACGCTGGCTGTCTTCTTCTTTCTCTCCACCTTATTTGTTGAGACAAGTTTCTCACCAAACTTGGAACTCATCAATTCCATTGGGATGGCTAGGCAGTAATCCCCAGTGGTCCTCCTGTCTCTGCCCCTTCGGCCCTGGAGTTACAGTAACATATATACAACCTTCACATGTGTGTTGGGGACATGTGTGTGACGATCCTAATTCAGGTCCTTGTACTTGTGGGGCAAGCAAGCCATCTCCCCAGCCCTCTCTTTGGGGAGATTAGATAGATAGATAGATAGATAGACAGACAGACAGACAGACAGAGAGATAGATAGAGAGATAGATGAGAGATTAGATAGATAGATGATAGATAATAGATGAGAGATTAGATAGATGGATAGATAGATGATATAGATAGATGATAGATAATAGATGAGAGATTAGACAGATGGATAGATGATAGATAATAGATGAGAGATTAGATGAGAGATGAGAGATTAGATAGATAGATGGATAGATAGATGATATAGATAAATGATAAAAAATAGATTAGAGATTAGATAGATAGATAGATAGATAGATAGATAGATAGATAGATAGATAGATAGATAGATAGATGCTGGGGACCAGCCTCAGCGGTTTCGGGGGTCCAAAGGATGGGACACCTGGAAGGCACAGTAACGACTCAGAGACAGTGTTTGTGCAAGCTGACAGGTCACTTCGGGCTTCTGCAGTTGCTGAGTAGCTTCTCTGCTACAGCTTCCTTAGCTTCCCTAGCTTCTGCTTTTGCCCTGGTGACCTCAGTCCTTTATTGTCATAACCTAGGGGGAACAGAAAGAAAAGGCGAAATCACCCAATACAAAATGTCCTCATGATTCCAAAGGTTATTCTTAGAAAATCACCAATATATTCTTCATCATCTTTTGCTAAACACAGAAACTATCCCAGACTTAACACCAAAGCAAGCATAATCTATTTTTATTATTAATGATTATACAATCTTTTGAGCACTTGACCCAGGGGCTAGCAACATGCAATTTCGCAAAACTAAGGTAAAAATAAGAACAGTGGTCAATGTACCAGACAGTCATTTCCTTCTCACAAGCCTGCTCTGACATCAAGACCCCTGCAGCTGCCTAAGTTCCTCCTCAGCCCTCTGCAGACACCAAGCCCCATGACTGGTGGGCCACAATGACCTCAGACAAGTAATCTGTCTCTGCAAGTCAGCAACTTCTGTCCTTCTATATCCCAACAATTCCAAGGAAGACCTAATCTAATTTATAGAGCTTCTGTGAAAGGAAGCCCACCTTTTCTGGCAGCTCTTTCTAATCTAGGGACCCAATAAAGCTTGCAGCAATCATTCCATCAGTTGCCACATTGTCTCCTCACTCCTTCAGGAGGAATAAAACGTATCTGGATTAAAGCTGCCATCTCCCTTTCTTGGTGGAGGCCCCTATTTTCCTCCTATTCTAGGTTCCCACCCTTTTAGTTTATAATCCCACCTGTATGTTACTCCGTCCACAGTCTTCAGCCAATACCTCTTAGGGTCTCAAGTTTTACACAATGCCCTTGGAATATCCTCAGAGTTATCCATCATGGCCAATTTGAGTCCAGTGTCTTGATACACTTCATACCATGTGCTATAGCTGACCACACATTCAGTACAGTTTATCCAAGCCCGAGAAGCTTCCCCAGGCTGCAGGTTCTTTCCCATGACCTGCATAACTGCCTCAACCCCAGCCTGGGTGATCATCTCTGTATAATTTCCTGTGAAATTTACTTCACTCCTTTCCTGTATCGCATAAATCACCATTGATCTAGGAACACAGAGCATGAAGATCAGATAGAAGAAGAAGAAGACAAGTATTACAAGTAATTATATGGAGGCGAACACGACATGTGCATACCATAAAGCATGACCTTGGGACATGTAGGCATTTCTGCCTTGGCCTTCTAGGGGCATGCTAAGCAGAAGATCTGGAGGGGAATGCACAAAAGGTTGATGGTCCACAATCTTGGGCCCCTTTTTCTCCAGCTGGCAGCACATCAACCATCTTATGTGTCGTCCCCGGCAGATACATAGATACACAGATGTGTGTGCATTGGGCTGGAGAGATGGCTCAGAGGTTAAGAGCATTGATTGCTCTACCACAGGTCCTGAGTTCAATTCCCAGCAACCACATGACGGCTCACAACCATCTGTAGTGAGATCTGGTGCCCTCTTGCTGTATACATAATAAATAAATAAATCTTTAAAAAAATATGCACATATATATTCATTCTGGAATTTTCTCAATATCATAGTTGGAGGTAAGCAAATTTGACAACAGTTGTTTATTATATGTTCCATTTCAAAAGCACCGATCAGCAGCCAGTTCAAAGGTGCCAGAGGGAGAACAGGTAAGACAGACAGACAAAGGTCACCTGAGACAAGTCTAGACCCAGGGCAGAGTGAGCATGTCCCTCAAGGAAGAATGAGCAAGTACAAAGTCACGATGCAGACAAAACTGGCCAGTGTCAGGAGAGGGACTCAAGTGACATTTGACCTTTTCTTAAAGGTTCATTATTTGACTTCTCCTCTCTCTTATTTCAACCCTGAAATGGAAAGCAAATACTAATTAAAAGATAAATTGAAAGAGTTGGTGAATGACTATTTGAAAGGACTATTTTAATTGTACAGCAAAGTTCATTGAAATGCATAGAGTTTGGGACCGGACTGCCTTAATCTAGCCATGTAATGTTTTCGTTGGTGAGTTCACTACGAAGAGTGATTTTAAAAAGCATCAGTGAGGTGTATAGATGAGGTGGAAGGTAGTGAGTGCTGTCCTCACGCTGACCATGGTGTGCTCTCCGCAGTCTGTAGCCTGGCCTCTAGTACAGTGTTCTACAGGTCAACCCTGATGTCCAGAAGATGTCCAGCAAGAATCTGTTCCCGAGAACCCAGATTATGTGGCACTCTGGAACCTGTGTATCCTTAAATTGCTTCCTTTCTGGCGGCTTGCTCTCCTCATCTGAGAAGATGGTCTCTGAGGTGAAAGCCTTCCAGTGGCAGCCAACACAATCATCGTACAGTGTCTTAAAGTGCCTGGGTGGTTCCTGTAGGTCAGTGTGTCCTGCCCTTCAATCAACCAAGTGAGTGCGCACCGTGCACCCGCAGAAGCCGCATTGTGGGGGCTGTGGAACTCTGAAACAGGCTGTTTCATCTCCTCACTCTGTCTAACTGGGGGTGGGTGGGGCAGTGATGGGTGCCACACACCTGTAATCCCCGCACTGGAAAGGCTGAAGTGAACCATACGTTTGAGACAGGCCTATACAATGAGACTCTCGAAACAAAGGTTTTATTCCGTGGACCCTTGGTTTTCTCTCTAAGCACGTGACCGTACCATAGCCAGGTTTAGCCAGTGTCTTGGAATTTTTTTGCTGCTGGGTATTTTAGTACCAAATCTAGACTCAAATGCCTGAAATGACAGGGACAGACATTTTTGCTTCTGACCAGTTCGTTGCACGCAGGCAGGAATTAAAACGTTTCTCTGGGCTCCTAAAGCCTCTTTCAAAAGCTGCTTAACTAACGAGAAGCTCTTGTGAGGGGTTCGAGTGTGCTTAAGCCAAGGGTCCACTTAACTGCAAGGATGCTTTGGGGGAGCTCTGTTCTGCCGCTTTGGCTGGTGAGCTGCCATTAATGCCTCTCGCCTGTGAAGCTCCTTCCTTCTCGGCTCTGGCACCAGGTTCAGCTCAGCGTTCACGAAGTCTCCAGAGATAAGCGTATCTGGGGTAAGAAAGGGCATTTACGAGAGACCAAAGAGAGGAGAGATGAGATGGGTACCATATATCCGTGAATAAATAGACAAGCTGTCCAAGTGATCCAGCACTACCCACTCAGGGGGAACTGGAGCCCCAAACTTCTTGGCCCAGAAGGTTCTAGAGTACGATGGAATCAAATGGAAAAGTGTTTAGGAGGGTATTGTGGGATGGTGGGGGGTGGGGTAGAAAACAGTGGCCACAAAGAAGGCATGTGCTGCGAAACCTACCACCAACCATACTTTTTTAAATGCGGGGGTGGGGGTGGGAGTTGGGGGGAACGGACTGGCACGCCTATAGCATTTAGTTCTTAGTTTTCTTTTGGGGCGCACGCATAGAGCATTTAGTTCTTGTTGCCGGGTCTAAAGAGTCGCTGGAAGGAAAGCTAGGTTGCCCCTGGTCCCTGATTTGCTTTTCGCAGCAGATGTAGAGAGAAACCAGCTAAAGCTATGATTCTCTGAAGTTCCAAAGGACTGGTCGCCCGGGTGCTGGGTGCCAGGCGGGCCCCTGTGTTCAGCACAGTGACGAGAGGACTTTCCCCAGCCTCAGCCTGAGAGGCACCCTGCAGACAGCAGCAGCCTGCTCCCCCTGCAAACAGCAGCGCCCTGCTCACTCAGGCAGGGATCCGAGGAAGTGCACGGAAAACACTACATTGTGTATCTTCAAAGCATCTTTCTCTCCCCGTGGACTTAAACTAACGAATCAGTGGGGGTACCTTGAATGCTTTCCAAGGATGGGGAAGCCACAGTTCATGAGGCTAAAAGCAGTTTATTCAGCGTCCCCAGCACTCCCAAGCCAAGCCACAGAGAAGGATCCACCCAGATCGCCCTAAAACTGAGTCTGGTTCTCTTCCCCCTAGAACAAAGGGACTTAAATATGCAGCATGACCAAAGAGGAGAGAGCAAAGAGGCCAGGAGAGGAGCCTTGGGTTTGCACATGCTTTGTGAAAGGGAGCATGTTGTGACGGTATCACCACGTTGTCAAGGGCAGCGCTGACTAACTCCTTGTGTGTCCTTGGTAATAATGATCACTATCTTTACAGTTGTTGACATCTCCTGAGCACCAACTGTACACAAAGCCCTGGGTACAATATGGCAGAGGGTACAAGACAACTTACCCAGAACCCTAACCGTGGCATTTGGTACCTAATAAGTACTCGGTGAATACCAACATCTTTATGATAAATACACAATGATCTCACTTACCCATTATAACAACCCTAGGAGGTAGGTATAATTACCCCCCAGTTGGCGTGTGGGAAAACCTAACCCTGCAAGGTGAGCCAGAGAAGTGGCCACATTGGCTCTGGCTGGTGCCCCTAATCACCATGCCGCAAATATTTACTGAGTCCTTAATGTCTTCCATTCTCTATTATTCCTCTTAATTTGATCCAGATCGGTTCCAAAGGGAAGAAAATAACTTACATCCTGGCAGGGCAGAATTGGGGAGGGGATTTTCAGGGCTAGTTCCCAGAGAGTGTGGTTTTTTTTCTTAGAAAGAGGCAGAAGGCTCATAAATACTATTTAAATGCTTTTTTTCTTTCTTTTCCGTGTTTGGAGACAGTCTGGCTTATGAGCTCAGTCTGGCCTGGACACATGTGGTCTGCCTGCCTCTGCCTCCTGAATGCTAGGATTACAGGCATGAACCACCACACCCTGACAGGCTCATCTGTCTTCCCCAACATGAATGTCTACACCCAGATCCAAGGACCTGCAAGCGAGAATTAAGTTGGCATGCGTGGCTAGAGAGATGCACACTAGCATATGTGAAGTCCCAGGCTCAGTCCCCAGCATCAAAAGAAAAACAAAACAAAACAAAATTGCATGAGGCCTGAAGATCAGAAGCCCAAAGTCATCCTCCACTCCATAGGATACATGAGACCCTATCTTTTCTTAGTTTTAAAGACTTTTTATGTATACAGTGTTCTGCCTGCATGTATGCCTACAGGCCAGAAGAGAGCACCAGATCTCATTATGTGGTTGCTGAGAATTGAACTCAGGTCCTCTGGAAAAGCAGCCAGTGCTCTTAACTGCTGAGCCATCTCTACAGCCCTATCTTAAAAATAAATAAATACATAAATAACATAGGGATGGCACTCCCAATAGTCCCTCAAGCTTGGTATAAGAATCCCTAGAATGTCCCACCAAAAGCCACAGACCACCTAACGAAAACTCCAATGCCAGGCATGAGAAGCCCCTTTTCAAGTTCTTGGTCAGGGGAGTCTTAAGAGATTCCCCCAAACAGTGTAGGCTATAGCTGTTGTACTTGGTTGCTTCCAGAGGTTGAAGGTAAGTCCTGTGTCCTGGACTTTGGACACAGGACCCAGAAGATCTGAGCTAGATCTGATCTGAAAGCCTTGCCCATGAGGACAAGCTTCCGTAGTACCGGAAAGTGGATGCAAGCCGCCAAGGGAAGAAAGCAACCAAAGTCCTACTCAGCTCTGAACCACAACAATCACCACCATGGCACAATGACCTTAAGGGCGCAATAATGGCACTGATATCTTGGCAGTAAACAACTGCTCTGTGATTGGACTTAAGGACCACCACCAACCAGGAGGGAAATCATGCCTGGTACTGAAAGCCCAGCCAACAACCCAGGGCTAGAGAGGCTAGAGAGGATCTTAGAGGAGACCCTACGACGGCTCCTTTACTATACCAGCATAATTTTTAACTGCATTCTAAATATTTATCCTTATATCCATTACACACACACACACACACACACACACACACACACACACACACACACACATTTTTAAAGGCCATAAATTCAAGAGGGAGCAAAGAGGGCACTTGGGATTGGTTGGAAGGAAGAAAGAGAAGGGGAAATAATGTAATTATATTATAATTAAACATATATGTGTCTATATATACATATATACGCATATAGAGACATATATTTCCTAGGAGGCCTCTCCTGTTGCTATGGCTCCTTGCCTACCCGTTCCAGCCCTGAAGGAGAGGGTGGGCTCCAAACGAAGGGACGGGGACTCAGTGGAGAAGCTCAGGCCATCTCCCCGCTGACAAGGCAAGGAGTGGGAACTTGGGGGAAATGAACCCAGCACCGTGGAAATCCCCTTCCTGGAGGCCAATGCCAGGAATCACCGAAATGTCCCCACTGTTTGTCACATACGTAACTTCAGTGGTATCATGGTACGGTTATAATATGGACAGATATCATCTAGTGACTGTAACTGATTTTTATGATTAATTTTTTTTATCTGGGTTTTTTTTTTCCAGACAGGGTCTGCCTAGGAAGTATGTGATGATCTGCTTTCACTTCTTGAGGTTAGAATGACGTGAAGATCTTAAAATGTGTCAATTTTGTGCTACTCACTTACATTGACTCCTTTTGTCTGTACACTGGGAGATAGAAATTGTTATTATTCTCATTTAACAGGCTCTCCATGTAAACTTTCAGAAGCATTCTGAGCATTAAAAATAAGCACGCACTAAAGCGAGAGCCATGCACACTTCCCGCCCCAAATTCCCTGCATTATCCCAGCTACAGAAAGGGCAACTGAGGCACAGGAAACTCTGCTAGGCCTTAAGGACCAAGAAAGGGGACTGTTTCAGGTGCATCTCAGTGAAGAGCTCTTTTATAAACAGGAAACCATTGTGGGGAGGGAAAACAACCTCTGAGTATATAGTTAAATTCTTCCACAAAGCATGGATTCTGGAGGCCACATTCTTCTTGTTGTTTATATGTATATAATATATGTATATATTATATAAACACACACACACACACACACACACACACACACACACACACACACACGGCATGTGGTACATGCCTTTAATCCCAGTGAGTTCAAGACCAGCCTGGTCTACATAGTGAACGCCAAGCCAGCCTAGGCTACGAAGTGAGACCGTGCCTAGAATAATAAAATAAAAATACGAGTGCACATGAGTTTCAGCAATAAATCCAAAGCATTTGCAGAAAAAGAACTAGGCATTGACTTTTCCCCCCATTTTTTCTTTTCTTTTTCTTTTTCTTGGGGACAGGGGCAGGGTCTCAAGCATCCCAGGCTGGCTTCCAGCTTGCCATGTAGCTGAGGAACTTGAACTCCTGCTTGTCCTGCCTCTACCTCATGAGTGCTGAGATTATAAGAACGCGCCACAATGCCCAGTTTATGTGATGGTGAGGTTGAACCCGGGACTTCATGCATGCTAGGCAGGCACTCTTCCAGCTGAGCTACAGGCCCTGCCCAACACGGCCTCCTCCCCCCCCCCCCGCGGCAGGGTTTCTCTGTGTAGCTTTGGAGCCTGTCCTGGATCTCACTCTGTAGACCAGGCTGGCCTGGAACTCACAAAGATCCGCCTGGCTCTGCCACCCGAGGGCTGGGATTAAAGGCATGCGCCGCCGCCGCCGCCGCCGCCGCCGCCGCCGCGGCCACCACCACCCGGCCCGACATGGCCTCTTTACTGGAGCTGACTGTCAGGAGAAAAAGCAGTCACACGCTCCCTCTCCTACATTGGTGCCTTGGCAGGCTTGCAGGGCTTCCCAGCAAGATCGCTAGGTGTCTAGCGGAAGGAACGTTCCAGTCATAGAGGACATAGAAGAGACTAGCAAATAATCCAAAAGGTTTTCCCAAACACAAGTTAACGCTGCTGCTTAAAGACTGGGGTGGACTCACATCTATTCTTTTATTGCTGTTATATTTTACTTATTTATTTTGTGTGTGTACGTACACAGATGCACCACAGTCCATGGGTGGAGGTCAGAGGACAACTTGCTGGGATTGGATCCCTCTTTCTTGCATGTGGGTGTTGGGGACCAAACTTAGGAGTCAGGCTTGGCAGCAAGTACCTTGATCTACTGGGCCATGTCTCTGACCCTTCCCATCCAGTCTTTAGTTCATTCACGTCTAAGTGAGCCTAGACTGCTTGGACAGTCCAGATCCTCACTGGACAGATCAAACGTTTTTGTTGGTGGTATGTGACTGAAGCTACCTAGCTGTTAGCAGAAGATAATCCCCTGTGAGGAGAGCTTGTTGCTGTTTTCACCTTTACCTGCTTTTCAGACTTCCAAACAAGCAAGCCAGTGAGTAGCATCCTTCCCTGGGCCGTCAGTGAATGCTGTACTAGATGACTATCTGTGCCCCAGCTTCCGGTGTGGTATGCATTGACCAGCACTCTCCAAATGCTAAAGGGCTAGATAAAGTTAAGAGCCCCAGAAAACAAGAACAAACCTTTCCGACCAAACCCTCCTCTCAGCCCACGAGGAAGTTTCATTTCACTGTCTGGACAAGTGGCTGGAAAAAAAAAAGGAGGCTAAAAACTAAACCCTCCAGTTCTGCATTCCAGATCTACTTAAGAGAGCCCCCCTTACCAGAAGTGGGTTCTTCTTTCACTTGAAGGGGGAGCCTATTTTGCTGGGAGAGCCAAAACAGTGAGGAAATTTGATTCGGGTCCTTCATCTCTGAGGAAGGCACAATTCCTCCATTCACCAAGTAGGTTTTGGTCTACAAGTTGTAAAAATGTGGACTCCAGATAATCGCGTCCCTTCATCTGCAAATGGCCCTATTAGGTATTAAAACTGCTCTCTACTTGTCTCTCAGGATTAATGGATTCTGTCTACGCAGCAGGAGTGACTCTTGAGGGAAAAAAAAAAAAGCAAAATGCAATATCTGATAGCCAATCAGAACACTACCTAGATGGCCTGTTATTATTTTTAAATTAAAAAGCATGATTTCTGCTAGTCAGAACATCAGGTTTGAATAACTCACAGTAGAAAAACTCAAGCAATTCTACCTCTAGACAGTTACTGCATAGGGAGAAAGGAGCAGCATTGAGTCTTTTGAATCTGGCTATTTGATTTTTAAAATGGAGAAACAAAATCTACCCAAATATATATTCGTTTGCATAGGATCAGGATTCCCCCCCCAAAAAAAAATCAGAATGGAGTCAGCCTCATTTTCCTCATCTCCTTCTTTAATCTAGAGATATGTTTTATATATTTTCTGAACCAAGGAAAAGAAAACACCTTTAGTGCCAGCACTCAGAAAGCAAAGGCAACTGGATCTCTGTGAGTTCAAGGTTGTGTAGTGATGGTATATTTCAGAAGAAGGAAGGAAGGAAGGAAGGAAGGAAGGAAGGAAGGAAGGAAGGAAGGAAGGAAGGAAGGAAGGGAAAAAGGGAAGGGAAGGGAGGGAGGGAGGGAAAGGAAAAATGGAAGGGAAGGAAATTACTGAAGAAGAGGAGGGGGTGAGAAGGGGGAGAGGCAGGGAATTGGGGGCCGGTGTTCAAAGAAGAGAGGTTGGACCTGGTGGCACAGGCCTGTAATTCCAACTACGCAGAAGACTGAAGAGACAGAGCACAAATTCAAGGCCAGCCTGGGCTACAGAATGGGTTTGGACCATTCTGGGTAACTTCGTGAGATCCTGTCTCCAAAAGGGGTTTAGACAGAGGGTGGAACGAGGGCTCAGAAGTAGAGCACTTGCCTAGCGTGAGTGAAGAGACAAGTATCTCAGAAGTAAAAACACATAAGGAAGAGAGCAAGTCCATAAACAAGCGTGCCAGAGCGCAGGAGGGTAGGAGAACGCTCTGAACGCACCTTTCCTGACCCGTGGCTCCCTTTCCCGATCATTCTGTTGACAACACGCTGTCAGTTCATTGACTTCTCATCGCTGTTATTCCCAGCACCCCAACGTTACAAGAAATGATGACGTCACCGAGGGTGAGGACTACACACCTTATCTCAGCCTCTCAGCCTCAGCCGCTTGTTCCCACTGTGAAGAGACAAGGCCGAGACACCATGAGGTTAACTTGCCAGGATCACTTGACTCCGGCACTGTACCAGCCCCCTCCCTGCCTTATTATTATTATTTTTTAATATAGCCATGACTACCAAATGATTGGTCTCCAAAGAATGGCTCTTTTCTTTGAAGCATCATTAGAAGTGGGGAGCCTTAGTCCAGCGCAATTATTCCCTATCACATGTTCCTTCTTAGCAGGGAATTAGACCTGCGTCTACAGACCTCATCCCATGTGAGAGGGTGTCACATGGGGATTATGGCCACTGTTGGGGCTGATCTGCTGGTGGAGCTGAAGTAGTTTTGGATTTAGTCCATCTCTCCTTGTGCTCTAACAAAAGGGTCGCAGGGACACTGGGTAAGTGGAGGGCTAGGCATCGTGGCTCCAAGTCATGGAGCTGCAACATTGCCCCCTTGTTCAGGCTCCAGAATCTCCCTGGAAGATGAGAGCGTTGAGAAAGAGTGACAGAATTCTAAAGAATGAGGAAGTTGACTGGGAGTGGGGAGTAGAAAACGTGTGTCTGTCTGTCTGTCTGCTCATCCAAGTGTGAAAGAAGTCACCGTGTGTGATTTGAGCATAGGGAAATACCTTCAGCTCAGTCTTTGAGTTTCTAAGTGCTAAATATGACCACGAGATACCCCACAGTCCAACTCGCTTTCTGACCTCGTAGCCTGAGATGCCCCTTTCCCTCCCAGGGGCAACCTAGGGAAGAAGGTGATGTTTCAACGCCTTCCTATCCCCATTTCCTGCTGGGGAAAGTCGGGTAAGGCCGGCCAGGCCCTCAGCGAGGCCAACTTCAGCTCCCTCCACAAACCCTGCAGGAGAGACAGGCAACAAGGGAGAACCAAACCCCGTGCTTCTCTGGACCTTCTCAGACACCGGCTTGCCGGCTGCTTCCTCGCAGGCCTGCAGGTTCCTGGCGTCTGCCAGCATCGGCGGGACCCAGCAGCTGGAGGTACACATTTCACCCTGCCAGAAACTGCAATTTATCCTCGAATATACCCTCTCTCGATTAGCTCATCACTCTGAGCTCTGGCTCCCCTCCCCCCACCCTCCACCGATTCTTGCTTAGGTCACTATAATGGCCCCTAAGAGATTCTTCCTGCCTCATTTTGGTACCTAATCCAACTTACAGACACTGTATGCCAAAGGGAACATGTGTCTCTTCCATGTTGAAAACCCTTAGCATAGCTCTTCATGGCTTTGCCTGGGCTCTCCAGCCTCACAATTCCCACCAGGCAGCAGGGGCTCAAGTCAGGTTGATCTTTCACACGCAGTGCTCCTGTGGAAGCATTTTCTAGCTATTACGATCTTTTAGAGAGGCAACTGGATGTACCACACTTCCCTTGCCGATTCCAGAGGTGGGTAGGAATGTGGATGTGCAGGAAAATCAGAGTGGAGCCTGGGCCTCCATTCTTCCGCATTATTGTAGGGTAGCAAGCTTTCTTGTCGGACAATCTTTAGATCACCAGCCCCCAAATAATGACACGGAGACTTCTTATTATGAACGCTTGGCCTTTAGCTTAGGCTTGTCCCCAGCTAGCTCTTATAACTTAAATTAGCCGGCTTCTATTAATCTATGTTCCACCTCATGGCTTTTTTTTTAACCTCTCCTCTGTTCAACATGTCTGACTTGGTTCATGTCTCCCTGGCATCGAAGCCTAGATTCATCTCCTTCTCCTCTCTCTCCCCGGAAATCCCGCCTGTCCTCTCCTGCCTAGCTATTGGCCATTCAGCTCTTTACTAAACCAATCATAAGGCACCTTGGCAAAGACACATCTTCACAGTTTACAAAAAAGTTCATCTCACAACACCCTAGAACAACTAATGAAGCCCCAAAAGAAGGGCCTGGGTTTAAAACATCAGACATGGTGGTAAGCACCTTTGGAGCCCCGGAAACAGAGACTGTCCCACTTAACGTCCAGTACTCAGCACAGGATCCGGTATACAACAGATGCTCAGTGTGTGGCACTGAATAAGGTCCCCAAATCCGTGTACTTCCTAGAGCCCTTTGGAGAAGGGATCACAACAGATGCAATTAGTGAAGACAAGGTCATCCTGAGGTGGAGGGACCTCCACCCAATGTCATCCCTCCAAGAAGTGGAGAAGAGAAGCAGAGGAGATGCCATACGGTGACAGAGGGAGACCAGAGCACTGCCCGCAGCAGAGAGACGGTGGATGGAGTCGGCTTCCCAAGAGAACTTGGTCTCGTTGAGGCCTTAATGTGTGGCCTCTTGTCACTAGGGCACAGTGCCCATCCGTGAACATTTGTGAGCATTTGCTACAGCAGTAAGTGCCCCAGGGAACTCAGACAAACTTCTTTAAAAATAAAGGCATATAATGATCAGCTGAGGGAGATTATTTCGAGCTAAATCAATATTAACTCTTAGAAATAGGATGTATAAACTATCAACCAAAATCAACTTCTCGCCCACTCCATGACCTCCTAATTCAGATACTGTGGGAACCGTGAGTGACCTACAAGCTGCCTGGCCACAGACCCCCGCCAGAGCTAAAGAGAAAATATACAGAGACAAAACCTCAGGGTTCCTTGCCAGGAATTAGAGCGGCTTCGGAAAACTTGATGGCAGTGTGGTGGCGGTGATGGTGCACACCTTTAATCCCAGCACTCGGGAGGCAGAGGCAGGTGGATCTCTGTGAGTTCAAGGCCAGCCTGGAGTGAATTCCAGGACAGCCAG